ATCCATTTTCTCACATCTTTTTGTTCAAAACTTCAACTATCTAATCAATACCCGAAAGTCCAAAGATCTAGAATATATATTTGAAGCTACTACGCATCACTGAGGTGATTCTTTTTTATTTTCAAGCAAATATTATATACAGAGAAAAATTGTGAATATTGTAACAAACAGCTATATAGCCACCTGTTTTTACATGTTTAATTTCCCTATTAGACTGTTATGTTAGTTCCTCCAGGGCAGTGATGTTCTACTTTGTATTCTGTGTGCCTAACATAGAAATTGGTACAACTTACAAAACTAGGTGCTCAATAAATGTTTGTTGAAAAAATAATTCAGCAGGAAAACATTGTGCACCCTGAGTCTTATTTGTATTTAACTGATAGCCTTTCCTTATATTTCCTTTAAAATTTCTAAAATAATCATAGACTAACCTCTTCAGTTACAATGTGACATTCTCAGTTAACTTCTATGGGCACTCACAGTTTTAACTCATTCAAATGGCATCTTTTGACTACTCAGATATTTGTACTTCTCTGAACTTGGTTGTCTGGGTCTAACGTGTCTGCTGGTCTCTGTACCTTCTAATTATGTTGCACTGATACCTTGGAAGCACTGGAGAAGGGAAAGTGTGCTAAGGGATCCCTAGAATAACATGTTCTCCTCCAACAACAAAGAGATTTAGAAAAATGTTAAAGTAGGGAGAATACAAGACCATTTCGATGAACTTTTCTAGAACTGACTTTTTTACTTTAGGAAAGGGAGAGAGAGAGTGAGAGAGACAGAGAGATAGGCAGATACTGACTCTATATGTGAAAATAAGGCCAGCTATATTTCTCACTGAATGGAAAGGGATCTCCAAATTAACCTGCTGATAGCATCAGTAGGCAGGCAGGAATGTAATGCTGAGGCATGAGTTTAAAATGAACAAATTACACTAATTTGCTAAACCTCAAGAAAAACCTGGTCATTAATTTTCTGTTTCCGGTGAACTATAAATGAAAGTCATTCAAATACCTATGGAAACAGTTAAAACTAAAACCAAACATTTGTATTTTCTGTAACTGTGACTATGAAATAGGAAAAGATTTTTCTGAAGGTCAATTTAGCTATACATATTGTAAAAATCCTTAAAATTTTGCTCTCTCTCTTTCTCTCTATATATAATAAAAAAACTTACAATTTATTTCTCTCTCTCCATATATATATATATAAACCTTAACATTTTGAAACCCACTGGCCCACCAATTCAGGAATGTATCTACAAAGATTTTACAAAAAAAAAATTCACTGTATTCGTATTTAAAATAGTAAGCAATTGCAAACAATCTAAGTGCCTTTAAAAGGGGGATTTGTTGGCTGGGGGGCAGTGGCTCAAGCCTGTAATATCAGTACTTTGGGAGGCTGACATGAGGGGACTGCCTGAGCCCACAGGTTCAAGAACAGCCTGGGCAACTTTTGGCGCGATCTCATCTCAACAATAAATCAAAAAATAAGCTGGGCATGGTAGCATGCTCCTGTAGTTCCAGCTACTTGGAAGGCTGAGGTGGAAGGACTGCCTGAGCTCAGCAGGTCAACACTGGGGTGGCCGTGAACGTGCCACTGCACTCCAGCCTGGGCAACGGAGTGAGACTCTAACTCAAAAAAAAAGGAAGGACTTGTTAAAAGTGGATAGATCTTCCTTTATAAAGTATAAATATAAAAATACGTATGAACATTCTTTATTCTCATGGGTCTTTTTATGAGTATTCTTTCATTAAGGGTTTACTACCTTGAACAAATAGAAGTTAAAAGATTGTTGGTTGTCAAAACATTTTTTTTTTTATTGCAGAACCCTTTTTAATCCCCAAAATGAAATCTTAGTTATAAACTAAACTAAAGAGGAACAACAGCAATAGTAGTAACAGTGCTTTTTAAAAGTGTGCGTGAGAAACTTGGAACTGCCCACTCACCCCAGAGGCCAACTTATGGCTTCAAGGAACACATTTTAAAAACAATTGTTCTTCAAGAACTTTTATTATGGGAGGGAAAAGACCAAGATTATTAAATGACTGCATTTTGGTAAAGTGTACATATATGTTTCTATTTATATACTATATGATGAAACATGGTTAGAAAGATATATACCAAAAGGCAAATAGTGTCTGGCACAGTGGCTCACACTTGTAATCCCAACTACTCGGAAGGCTGCAGTAGAGAGATATTTTGAGGCCAGAAATTCCAGAATAGCCTGAGCAATACAGCAAGACATCATCTCTACAAAATTATTTAAAAATTAGCCAGGCATGGTAGTGTGCCTATAGTTCCAGCTACCTGGCAAGAATGCTTCAGGCTAGGAGTTTGAGGATGCAATGAGCTATGATCATGCCACTGCACTCCAGCCTGGGTGACAGAGTGAGACTGTTTCTTTAAAACAAAACAGAACAGAACAAAGGGCAAATAGTGCTTATCTTCTGAGTGGTGAGTTTATAGGTAATTTGTATTTTATTGCTGCTTATATGCTTTTTTCCTAGATCTTCTACAATGGGCATATATTATTTTCATAAGAAGAAAGAAATATTAAAGTTGGATTGTCCTGTACAATAAGTTTTCCATATTCCTTTATTTTAGTTATTGACAATTCTTCAGGTGCTTGCCCAACTGAAGTAAATGTCTTTTGTCTGACAATCAAATATATATTAAATCCAGGTAAATGGAGTCTTAGTAGCCAAGTAGCGAGTTTCCCTGCATCCTAATTAGAGATTTTCTTTATGCTAAGTTATGGGTACCTCACTAAAAACTACTCTGTGCTCTGATTTCTGTCTTTTCATATCCTGTTCAATTTTCTCCAAATGCTCATCTTCCAGTTCTTCGAATGGCTGAATCATTTTGTCTTCAGATCTCAGGAGAGACCTACAGAAGTCTTCTCTGACTATACTAAGTATTCTCAATCATTGTACTGTTTCTCTCCTAGTACTTAAAACAATTTGAATTATATATTTGTTTGTTGATTTGTTACCAATCTCGTCTACAAAACTGAAGTTTCACAAAAGCAAAGACCGTGTCTATTATTTGTCATATTACACAATGTCCAGCATAATGTCTAGCAATTGTCCATACATATTCACTGGCTGAATAAATGACTAAATGTTTGCTGAAAGCTGAATTTAGAAACTCATGAAGACATTCTTGTCTTAAGTGGGCTGGCAATATACCATTAGAAAGAAGATGAAAAATAAGAAAAATCATAATAAAATAAATAGGCAAGATTCCTATTTTCTATACAGTTTAAATTTCTGAAAACTTAAATAACTGACCAGAGTTACATTAACTGTGCACATTCTTTAATGACTGTATCAATTGCTGTAGGACTCACAAAAGGTACTAGGTCTGAGATACCTGTTCCAAGACTACACTTACCCTTTATCATGTATCCTTTGGAGAATATTTTATAACACAGAATGAGTATTTGCTACTTTGACATTTTTTAGAGCTTCTTTTAGACCCAATATTACTTATAAATGAAGCACACTAATGATAGCTATGACATGTCATCCATCCCATACATATACTGATATGCAGCCACTGAATAGTAAAACCCTTTTTGTCAGGAATCTGAACATTGTAAGCTGCTATTCTGGGCATAATTTAAATAACAGGGGCTCCAACGATGGCAAACCAACAGTCTCAGAGGAGCTCTTGCAACTAAATGGAGAACTTGAAAACACCAAAACAGACTGCGTAAGAAAAATAACCAGAGAAGGTACCAAATAAGCATAGAGACATAACATTTTAAATACTTCCAAATATTTGGTTTCAGAGCATAAATGGACATGTGGGCTTTCCACATCTTTTCCTGCCAACTCCCAGGAAAAACTGACCCTACTACAGTCATCTCAAACAGCTGTTAGTGCTGATCTTCAAATATTTGGTTTCAAAATACAGACCTACTTGCACTTAAAAACTCAGATGTCTGCATACTCCCACTGTAGTACGACACAGAGATAAGCCTTTTAAAGTAGGTTTCTGGCAAAAACAGACCTTTATTCATGGGTGAGAACTATCTCAAATGGACAGAGAAAAATGTTAGCCTAAATCTTAAAGTCAGTTGTCAGAAAAGATAATTTGCTCTGGCACCAAAACATCACTTTTCTTTTGTTTTGTAAAGCCAGGAGCTGAATTTCTCTAGTTATTTAAGGTTAAAAAGAGAGTAAATGTGAAATGCATGCTTCTAGAAGGAGGGAAAAAAATGTATGTCTACGTCACTTAAAATTGTTGACTTCCTTAAACTAAGTTTCTTGTTTAGCATATTGTTCTTGTGGGTACTCAAATATAAACTACTAAATCTGCCTCAGTTTGAGTTGCTGGAAGATCCAAGCCACAGAAAAGGATCTTTGTCTAGAAATAAGTCAAGTGGTTTAAAATAACCGTTCCCACACTCCGGTATAATTATGCTTGTTTTCTAGGACTTGTGTAAGAGCATGGATACTTAGCTGTTACACTCTGAGAGTTATCTAACACATAAAGCAACATCTTAGGAGACTGTGATGATAGGTATACACAGAGTACCATTTTACTCTTCTAAGCAGACATCAATTCTGATTGACCAATTCAATTGACTTCATTTATCTTAACTTTTCTTTAAGATGGCAACCACTGACAATGCTTATGCCTTTATCAACTACATTGTATTGTTTCCCCTTCAAATCTTATCATGTAAACCTTGTTCCTGAAAGGGGAACTCTTGAAGAGAGACAAATGTTAGTGCAACTGAGAAATCTGTATTTAGCATCTTCAAAACAGTAGTCCATCTTTACCTTACTCTCCTGATAGGTGTTATACAAATGGAAAGAGTAAGATTTATGGCAGTTAAAAAATGTATTCTGGGTCATTCAACTGATAAATGGGAGAATTGGGAACCTTTTCCACTTCCCAACTTACTATTCTTCCCTTGCAGGCAACTCTAGGGAATGCCCCAGACCAATTAAATTCCAGGTAGATCAGAAAAGCCTTTCCAACCTTACCTCTTTATGCACCTTCCAACTGTCTACCGTCACATTGAAGAGAGCTTTGAGGGCCTCGATGGCACAGTCTGTCTCCTGAGGTGAGAGAGGAGGTCCATTATGGTCTATGGCCGATTCATACTCATCGGTCCACTTGATGCTAAAGGCACTTTCCAGAATCTGGGTTAGCAGCGGTAGTCCCTGGAGCTCATAGCGCAATTGTGACCTGATGTCAGTGTGCAAAAGTGACAGGAGGAAGAGCAAGCGCAAGTCAAAGCACTTAATGTCATTGATAAATTTTCGGTCCTTGCACTTTCTCAGGAGGTTACAGAGCTTTGCAGCAAGATTAAGTTCCAGGCTGAGCTGCTGTGCCATCTGACTGTTGAACACTATGTTACACAGACATTTTAAGGACTCCACAATAACTGGGAACTCTGACACCTTCTCCAAAGAATCATCCAAGTCACTTAGCTTGGCTAGTCGCAGCAGTATCTGCATATTTTCCTTAGTTGTTACAGGAACTAAAACCTTTTTGTCTCTGGAGAGAATGCGGAGTACTTCCAGACAGGACACTTGACATGTTGTTGGGACGTCCTTTACAAGGACTTTAAATATGCCTTCACATAGTTTCTGAAAAATAAGAATGAGTATGCAAAAATCATTACTTGGCTCAAATGATTTAAAACAGATGTTTCTTACCAGTGTATTTAACATTAGCTAAGGATCTGGATAGAAAAAGGTTTTATTTTTCTTTTTAAATCACAGAATGCTAGAAATGAAAGAGACCTTATATTTGGTGCACCTCTTTTATCTTATAGATATGGAAATTGAGGGCCAGAGAGGTTAAGTTACTTGCACTGGGCAGAGTGAATTAGTGGCTAGAGCTAGAGTATGAGTTTCCTACCTTCTAACCCAATATTCTTTCTATAAAATCACGTATTATATTTAAACCATATAGTTTCAAATGTCTTATACAGTTTTGTTCTCAATGATTTTTTTTAACATCACACTAAACATAGTATCAAGATGGAAGGCAATCAGTCTGAATCATAGCTAGTTCCTTCCCAGAAGATTAACACTTTGAGAATTAGCTCATATTTGTCCACAGTACAGGCTCTTATGAACAGACTTAAAGAAGTATGCATTTCTGCTGAGTTTTAGTTGTGCTATTTCTTCTGAACTTAGTTTTTTGGCAGTAGTCCCATGTTTCAAAAACCCCAGAGCCTCCTTTAGCTAAGATTTAACAATATTTAATCATCAAATGACCCTGGAGACAAACTTTTGCTGACAAACTAATAAAAATGATTCCAAGTGTTGGGTTCAAAACAGAGTTCAGCTGGCATATATTACACCTGGAGTCAATTCCAAAAAGGTGACCCCTCCAGGAAGACTAACTGCAAAAAAGTATTCCTACTGGGTGGACAAATTATTAAAAAGCCCCTCTTTTTCTGGGCAACTCTTTCCCGGGACTCAAGAAGCTCAGAGTGTGGACAAACTCCCAGCTCCCTTTTGTTCTCTTGGGGTAAGGCATAGATTGCACAAAAATATGTAGCAGTCCTGGTTCCAAATCAGAAGCAATTCTTTTAGAATTAAGCCAAATAACTCGTGTTTTTTGAAAAGTAATTATTTATACCACTGCCAAATTTAAGAATCACTGACCATTCCGTCAAAATTCAACGTCAGCTTTCTTCTCTATAAATTGCAGGTCTGAGTCTCTCAAGCTTACCCTTATGTCTGCAGCAAGCAGGTATAACCAATCCATTGCTGAGTATTTCTACAATGCATTACATTTTATATAAACAACAAGCAACAACTGTTACTGATATAAGATCTTACAAAGTTTCTATTAACCTTTCATTAGACTTTACCTCTTTAAAAAGAGGCAACCTGTGAGTAAAGCATAATGATAATGGAAGAAATTCCAGGCTGTGTGTATATTCTCAGTACGTTCCAGTCATGCAGCTATGGAAATACCATTTAAAATAGATAGTCATTCCTTGGACTCCATGAGGGACTGGTTCCAAGATACCAAAATCCACAGATGCTGAAGTACCCTTATACAAAATAGTGTAGTATTTGCATATACCTACACACATCCTCCTGTATACTTTAGATCATCTCGAGATTATTTACAACACCTAATACAATGTAAATGCTATATAGATAGCTGCTATACTGTATTTCTATGGAACAATGATGACAAAAACAAATCTGTACATGTTTCATACAGATGCAACCCTCCATCTTTTTTCCTCAAGTATATTCAAATTGCAGTTGGTTAAATTCATGGATAAAAAGCCAAGATACAGAGGGACAACTGTATTATGTCCTCTGAATAGATGTGGGAAAAAACTTTACTTGACAAGCTAAAAAAATTTCCTAACAGTGTCAACTCTATCTCTGCAATACCTGATAATTAGAAAGGACTTTATTTTAATGTTTTAATAGTATATTGGTTAAAGCATTTTTAAAAATGAAGGTAGTTTGGGGATGGGGAAAGTATAATGTATTCATTATTTAAAATATACAAAACAGGAAAAATCTTCTCCCATTTCAGATCTTTCATAAGCAAGACAAAAAATACATTCTACATACTACATACTACGTCATGTATGGTATATTCCTGGAAATGGAGTCACATCATCTTTGTTCCTTCACTAGTTTTTCAAGAAGGAAATATCTACTTTCTTATTTAAGAAATATGTAATAAGATACTATAAAATATGATATATGTGAATTTAGAGTTCTATATGTCTAATAGTACACAAACATCTTTACTTTCTTCTTTTCTAAACGAAAAACAACAGCAACAATAAAATCTAGAAACAATGTAATTCTGGTGTGGTGGCTCACATCTGTAATCTCAGCACTCTGGGAGACCAAGGTGGGAAGATCACTTGAGGCAAGGAGTTTGAGACCAGACTGGGCAAGACTTCCCAAAAAAAAAAATTAGCTGGGCACAGTGACATGCTCCTGTAATCCCAGCACTTTGGGAGGCCAAGGCAAAAGGACTGCTTGAGCCTGGGACTTCTAGGTAACATAGAAAGACATGGTCGCTATAAAAAATTAATTAGCCAGGTGTGGTGATGCTTGCCTGAAGTCCCAGCTATTTAGGAATTAGAGGCAGGAGGATCTCCTGAGCCCAGGAGGTTGCGACTGCTGTGAGCCATGATCATGCCACTGTATTCTACCCTGGGCAAAAGAGTGAGACTCGGACTCAAAAAACAAACAAACAAAGAAAAGACTATGGGGCAATATGGCCACTTTTAGCCTAACCTCAGACCCAAAGAAAAAGAGCAGAGCAAGAAAAGCTGAAATAGCCGGGGTTACATATAAACCAAATGGACTATGAAACTCTGAGATCTAAGGACATGTAAGAGTTTAGAGATGACTACAGAATGTATATAGTTAAAAATACTTCATTTTTCATCCACCAATGAAAAAAGTTATTTTTTTAAAGTATAGTTTTTATTCATAGTTTTTCTTGAACATACCATTTTTCATTACAGACCCACCTCACATGATTGTTAGGTAGTTTTTTGCTATAATGTCTCTTGAAAAGTAATACACTTTTTGCACAATGACTTCCTTTTTTATTACAATTTTTTAAAGAATCAAAAACACATAAAATATAATAAAAGAAGTGACAGTTAATAAACATATTCAATGCTTTATTCAATACAATCATTTCTATTTAAAGGATATTATAAGAAACAAATTAATAAATTGTGTACATTTGGATAAATCGAAAAAGTTGCACATTGCATATACACATCAGCAAGAGGGTTGAAAAGACATCTTTAAGACTCTTCCATCTGCCGAGTGTCTGCACTCCTTCCATATATTAAAGGTGCTCTTGTGTGTCCCCTTTATTTTGCCCCAATAGTGTTTTTCTGTGCCATAACTATTTTTAAGTTGATTTTATTCTTCCTAAAACATGCTCTGCTCTCCCCAAACACCTTCCATAGTTCCCTGTTACCCACAGAATACTGCTGAAATGAGCTCAGTGCCATCCTTCCTGCTGCTGTCTGTCTCACACATTCTCTGTCTCTCTGTCTGTCTGTCTCTGTCTCTGTCTCTCTCTCTCTCTCTCTCACACACACACACACACACACACACACACACGCACTTTCTTTTTCAGGTGTTCCAAACTGACTCCCAATCCCTGATGATGACATGATACATCCTGAGCTTTTCCTCCACTGTCCCTTTAGTGTGGCAAGTCCTGCCACCACATCCACCCATCAGAGATTGACAAAAAATTGTTAGTAGTTCGCTCCTGAACGGAAACCGCAGAGTAGACTATAGCAGTGGATCTCAAATTTCAACATGCATCATAATCACCTGAAGTGTTTTTTTTACAAAAACACAGACTGTTGCACCTCATCCCCAGAGTTTCTGATTCAGTAGGTCTGAGGTCAGGCTCCAGAAATGGGAATTCTAATAAGTTCCTAGCTGATGCTACTGCTGCTGCTGGTCCAGAATTCACTCCAGGAACCACGGAACCATGGTTAACCACAGAATGACGTAATTTAGACGTTCGAGGGTCAGGGTGAACTGAGACTAACTAACCAGAGGAACACGGAAAAGCAGGCAGAGTTAAAGTCGTTGGCACAGATGCCCTAACCATCACCTTCACTGCTCTGTGTTAAAGATGCACGAGGGTGGCCGGAGGAACGGGGCACGTCAACATCCCATTTAACTTAAGTGCTAGCAACTACCAGAGGCTGAGCTTGGTAGCTCAGCCTGTAATCCCAGCACTTTGGGAGGCCAAGGAGAGTGGATGGCCTGAGCGTGCAGGTTCGAGCCAGCCCAGGCAACTTGGTAAGACCTGGTCTCTACAATAAATTTTTTTAAAAAATTAGCTGGGAGTGGTAGCATGTGCCTGTAGTTCCGGCTACTTGGAAGGCTTGAGGCAGAAGGATTGCTGGAGTCCAGCAGATCAATGCTGGGGTGGGTGAGTGTATCACTGCATTCCAGCCCGGGTGATGGAGTGAGACTGCAACTCAAAAACGAAAACAAAAAAAAAACTACTAGAGGTGTGAAGCGCATTACTCATTAAAGGTCAGTGGTCCTGGGTTTGAAACTTGTTCAACCGACCGTGGACTCTGGAACCAGAGCAGCATGTTGATGGTGAGCAGGAGTTCTGGATTTAAATTCCTTGTGTTAAAATCTTGGCTCTTCTACTTAACAGTGTGACCTTGGCATTAGTCTCTGGGCCTCATTTACTGTAAGAATTAATGAGATTATACATGTACAGCATTTACAACAATACCTGGCAAGTGATAAATGTTCAGTACAGGTTATACATTATATATCATTATAAGGTAAAATCTCAAAGTCCTCAGCTTGGCATTTAAGATCCTCCAGGCTGCTTTGAGTCTTTTCATACTATTCCTATCAAATCTTCCTCTAGCTATATTCCTTTCAGACTACTGCACACTGAGCTTCTTTGCTTTCTCATAGCCTCTCCTTACATTTGTCAGTTCCTTTTCTTCTCTGCCTGTTTATGTTTTAGCCATTCTCCAATGTTAAGCTTAAAATCCACTTCAGCATAAAAATGTCTATAGTCACTTCAGCCCCCAACACTCTTTCTTTCCATGGAATACCCAAGCCACAAATTTGTATCA